CCCCCTGCCCCCCGCCCCGCCACCCCGATGATCATGAGAAGGGAGGTGGAGGTGACAGGCTTCACAAAACAAAGTGTCCACATACCTTGATGTCACCTCACCAGACAGTGTCCAGGCTAGTCACCATCCATGCTTCTCCTTCTGTCATCGACTGTTCACCTGCGATTTTCTTTCCCTTCCCTTACATGGGAGCCCAGCTAATGCAGCATCATTTCTACCATGCACCAGGACTGTCAGTCGTAGGCTGCTGAGCGCCACAGCATCTCTCCTGAGAGCTTGTGTTGTAGAGAGACGAGGACTGAGGAGGAGGAAACCAGTGCCGCAAGACAAGCCCATGTGAGCCCAGGCGAGGAGCACCTGAGCCAAGCTCGGGGACTTAGGAAAGGCTCCTCTGGGAGGGTGACTGGGAGTGAACTGGTGAAGGGCAGTGGACTGGGGAGAGGTGTGTGGGGAGTGACCAGGACGTAGGAGGCCCAGGAAGCAGCCTGGGCAGTGCCCCGAAGGCCTGAAAGGCAGCACAGTGTGCTGGGGAAACTGCAGAGAGCAGAGTGGCCTTAGTGTTGGGGGCTTAGAGAGGGTGATGAGGCAGGTGGGACGGTGGCTGGGCCATGTTGAATGGGGTCTGCATGTCAAGCTGAGTCTGGACTTTGTTGTGAAGGCAAGGGGAATCACCAGTGTATTTTGATCAGAAGAAACACAGGTCGGATTATATTTTAAGAGACCAGTCAGTGTCAGGGTGCAGTGTGGATCGAGGCAGTGAGTCCATGTAGTAGGCTGAGTGAGAAATGCTGTGGGCTGGAGAGCAAGAGATGCATTTGAAAGACACTCAGGAGGGTCAGATCCACCAAGCTTGGTGTCCAGTAAAGGTGTGTGTGATGGGGGCGGGCCGGGGAGTAGGGGGAGAGCCTGGGATGAGCCCCAGCTGAGGTAGATGCTGGAGGTTGGCTGGGTTTGAGTCCTGAATTCTGAGGGGGAATGGGGCTGGAAATGCAGATTTGAGTGGTGAGAGCCAGAGGAGATGACAGAAAACCTGAGAAGAGTGAGTGTGAGAAGGGAAGGGGCAGAGGAGGAATGCGATGGCTCTGGCGTAGAGGGGAGGGGTGCCTGGAGGAGGAGGATCTTGCACAAGTGACACTAAAAGATGGAATTTTGGAAATAAAGTAAGAGGGGTCGCAAAGGCTGTGTGCAGGAGCTGCTTCTAGGCAGGAGGGAGCCCCACCTACAAGGTGGTGAGGAAGAGCAGACCTCCCGTAGCTTAGGCGGGGTGGGGTGGAGGGGTGTTAGATAGGGAGGGCTGGTTGACAGAGAGGCTGAAGATAAGAAGGGCTTGTGGGACAGTTTGTGAAGGCCAACTTTGTGGGTGGTAATGTTTTAACTGTTTAGATCGCAAGATACAGGCCCTGTAAGTCAGTGCTGACGCAGGGGGACTAGGATATGGACAGATTCCTCAGCCTCTGGATGGAGCTCCCTGCTGGCGGGAAGTGGCTGGCCAGTCACTAAGGAGCTCGTGAGCAAAGCCCCCTGGCCGCACTAGGAGCCAACTGGACCTGAATTTCCCACATCCACTGATGGCCACCAAGATAAAGCTTGTCACCTTGGAAAGTTTGTTCTGCTGTGATGCTTTCTCGCACACACACACACACCTTAAAGGGAGTGGGTAAGCCATGTGGAATGACTTGGCCCTGCTTTGTATTTGTCTTTGTACTAAGTTTTAGGAAGGAGGACTTTGTGTGTGTGTGTGTGTGTGTGTGTGTGTGTGTGTGTGTGTGTTTTAGTGAAAATTAATAAGGAAAATGCAATAGAACAGTAAATCCTATACTCAAAAGGTAAGAAATGTAGCATGGAGTCATTATCTGTTATATTGGGTTATTGACAGTAAAAAGAAATTTGCATTGAACTGCATAATCCAGAATAATTGGATTAGACTAAACCTTAAAGAAAAAAAAACAGTGATTTTTATTGGCCAGAATTATGAGAATTATATTTCCCAAGAGGTATTTAGGGTATCAGATTTAGCAAATAAAAATATAGGACGCCTGATTAAATTTGAATTTCAGAAAATAACAACTAATGTTTTAGTATAAGTATGTCCTAAATATTGCATAGGACATACTTATACTAAAACATTATTTATTATTTATCTGAAATTCAAATTTAGCTGGATGTTCTGTATTTTACCTGGCAATCTTAATTTAGGATAAACCATAAGTTTGCTAGTCACTACCCTTTATAGACACCTAAATGTTAAAAAGGCATTTGTATTTGATTATTCTTTCTGGATTGACTAGGAACTCTTTGAGGACAGTCTTCAAACCATGCCATTTGTTTCTCTGACTCAGTAGCACTCAGCACGCAGTAGGTATTTGTGAAGGAAATGAAAGAGGAAATAATGAGCTGTGACCAGCCAGGGTCCCAGGGTAGCTCAAGGGAGGGCTTAATCCAGGGAACTATTTACAGAGATTTTAGAGAGCTGGAAAACCAAACAGAATGGGAAGGAAACCCAAGAGAATAATAATAGCAGAAGCTATCACCTTCCCCACCTCCCCCTTCCCCCACAGGAGTGCCTGAGGGAGGAGGGCCTAGGGCTGAGGCCGGCTGCTGGCAACTGGCGCCAAGGGCTCCCAGTAGACAGGTGGGAAACACTCATTTTCCCCATTCTGTCCTATTGTTTTCCACTTTTTACCTCATATATACCAAATTCAATCAGAAACCAGTTGATAGGGGAGCCTGGGAAAGTGGTTTGCAGGGATCAGACCCCTTGATAATGGAGCAGGGTGAGGGGAGGGAGTAGTCGCAGCACATAGGCAAGTGACAGGCATTTCAGTCAGCTTATTTGACAGCTAAAAATACATTTAGACCTGGTTTTTATCCAGAATGCAGCTCTGCATTTGTTCACTGGTTTGCATGGTATTTTTTTGAATGAATGAATAAATGGATGAATGGATATATGAATATAGTGAGAGGAAAAGCCATCTGTCATGTATAACACATTCTTCTCACCGTTGTAAATGGGTAATGTCGCTTTCAGGGCATTGTGGTCTTATCCCAGCCTGTGCTGAGGGTCTTCTGGGTCCCAGGCACAGTGCTGGCTGCTGTGAGGTGCTCAGAAGCAGCCTAGCACCTGCCTGTATGTGGTTCATACTTTATCTATGTAGCAGAGACCCATCATCCAGGGCAGGTTTAGAGTAAGGTGTAGGTAAAGTGCCCTTGGGATTCAGAAGATAAGGAGAAAACCCAGCATGGCTGTGGGGCTCCCAAAGACATGATGGTGGCTGGAGGATTACCGTTGGAGCAGGGCGTGGATAGGATTTCCACAGGCACACTGGGCTGAGGAGACTAAGCACAGCCACGGGCAGGAGTCCTCCAGGTACATCTTGGGGGTAGTCTGGCTTGGATGCGTGGAGCTTGGGTATAAGTGATGGGAGATGAGGGTGGACAGGTCAGCACCATGGTCTAAGCCACCATTGTGTCTCTCCCGGTTCCTGGAGAGGCTCTGAATTGGTGTCTCTGCTTGCTGATTTTCAGCCTTGCAGTGTGTCTCCCGCCCAGCATTCACTAAGACCTTGTTCCTTTGCTGACAATCCAAAACCCTCCCCTCTCATATTGTAAGAGGAAGAGTTCTTATGGTGGGGCCTTCCCTTGAGCCCTCAGCTATGACCTTTCTGACCCCTTCGGATTCCTCATATCAGGCTTGTTCTCACCTCAGGGTCTTGTACTTGCTGTCCTCTCTATGTGGAATTCTCTTCCCCCAGAGTCCACATGGTAGGTACACTTCATTTGATATATGGTCTTCTAGATGTTTCCCAAAGCATATATAATTTATATTTAGAAATATGTAGGTTTGTATTACATATAGTTCGGTAATCTCTTTTTTCCTCTGCAGTTCATCATAAACATCCTTATAAGTCTCTTCTTATGTCTGTAACACCACGTTCAATGGCTGCATAGCATTCCATCATATGGGCATACTATAACTTAGTCAATCAGTTTTCTATTGGACTGTTCCCATCTCTTGTGTGCAGGCAGTTGTAAATAATACGTGGCATCTTTGAGGCTAAATCTTTGCATACATGTGTATTTCCTTATGATAAAGATCTGAAAGAATAAATGCTGCATCACAGGGCATAAACATTATTTCATTCCATCACAAATATTTATTGTGCCTCTACTAAGAATCAAGCAGTTAGAAGTATTGTTTTTAATAATGCGTATTGTCAAGTAGACTTTCATAAAGCCTTATCAATTTTTGTGCCCACCTGTAATGTTAGCATAGATTATCGAAGGACCCAGTAGCATAAGCTTGTTAGGGTTTTTGTTAATTTATTTGAACTTCTGTTAGCAGTCTCCAGAAGCTCCAAATTTAGTTGAGACATACCCCGCAGTATTGGAAAATGACAGCATGTAAGTTGTAGGTTACTAAGGGGGTATGAGATTCTCTGTAATAGCATGAATATTATTGAAATTGTTGACCACAATATTTGGATAGAGATAGGCAGGCGAATCCAGAAAACAGGTGATAGACTAGGAAAATAGGAGTTAGACAGATGCAGGAGAGTTGATGGGTGGCGTGTTAAGAGGTTGTGGCCACAGAATCGATTCTGTGAGTGAGATCCCAGGGTTGGAGTCATTTGGAACAGTGACAACTTCCAGGAGAGTAAACTTGTGCTGTCAGGGGCGGTGATGGTCTCTGCATCAACAAGATGGGGATCCTGGAAGGCCAGAGTACTGGGAGGTCTTCTGCGAAAGTGCTGAGTATCAACTAACTACACTCTTAAAGTGAGTAGAAATACTATTAGCACTTCTCAGAAAATAAGCAAAACATCCCAAGATGTGAGACTTATTCAGAAGAGAAACTTAAAAGTCGTGGGCTGTTGTCAATACAAGCCGACTTATCTTTTGCAGCTGTGGATTTTCAAATGAGTTTCTCATTAAATGATGTAATTTTTCTACATTCTCTTATAGGTATTTTGTGTCATCAAATTATTGTGACTTTCTGGAGCATTAAAAACATTTGATCTTGATCTGTTTGATGATTATACATATGTGGAAGGTGGAATAATGACCCCCCAAAATGTCTACATCCTAATCCCCAGAATTTAGTGGAGAAAAGATGGTCTTTTCAGTATATGGAGCTGGATCAATTGGATATCCACATAGAAAGAAATTAACCTTGACTATCACCTCATACTTATACAAAAGTTAATTTGAAGTATATCATAGGATGTGAAAGTTTATTAAAGTAATAGAACTCCTAGAAGAAAAAGTCATGAATATTTTCACAATGTTGATATAGACCAATATATTGATAGAGTACAATGCACTAATCATTAAAGTTGGTTTAGTTGTTTGATAAATTTGGCTTTATTAATATGAAGGACTTCTTTTATCAAAAGTGAAAGGTGGGAGTCAAAACACAAACCACAGACTGGGTGCAGATATAGGCAGTGCATTCAACTGACGAAGGGTTCATATGCAGAGTATATTTAGGACTTCTACTGGGTCATTTTGATTCTCATGGAGAGGAGTGAACCTCTGCTAACTAGAATGAGACAGTGGTTAAAGGGACAGATCCTGGAGTTAAACAGACCTAGTTCAAAACTAGCTTCACTAATGAGCTGAGGAGTTTGGGGCAAATTATTTAATTTTTTGTAACATTTCTTCATCTATAAAATGGGATTAATAATATTTACCACATAGCTATTTTAAGGATTAGAAGAGGTCATACATGTGCTTAGTAGAGTGCCTGGTGAATTCTTCTTATTATCATCATCTAATTAGAGTGTTCATTTAGGTAGAACATTCATTCTTGAATTATTAGCATATTTTCATGTGTCTGTAATTTTATGCCTCTGTCTCTAGTTGTGGTAAGAGAGAGACAGTGATGAAAACACCAACCCGTGTAGCCTCTTCAAGAGCTTTCATTTGCATGTTGTCAGACTTAAACCTCCTGCTGTGAAAAAACCCTAACTATTTGTTCTTCTAATTTAAAGGATTTCTGACATTTTATTCTAGCAGACTGTTCTGCCAGCCATGTTGGAAACGATAGCACCGTGAATGTCCCAGTGCAAACTGCAGCTGCCACACCCATGTCTGTACAGGAAGCGGCACTCCACGCGGAGGTGCCCCCTAAACACCACAGCCCTCGCCACTCGACGAAGTCCCCGCAAGCCTCCGCAACAATGACACCACAGAAATGCTTTATACAGATCACAGGCATGACCTGTGCATCCTGTGTGTCTAACATTGAGAGAAAGCTGCAGAAAGAAGCCGGTAAGAGACACACCCATGTTACACTGGGAAGCTGGGTGTGGACTGTCAGACCCTGCAGTCAGCACGATAGGGTGGGCCTGTGCGCTCCCTTCAGGGTCTCCATTGACTGCATTTGTCAAGAGCCCTGATGCTCTGGTAGCAAGTTCACTGTGTAATAGTACAGATGTTTGTCTAATGTTTGTGGGCAGCTGTCATCTGTCCTTCAAGAAGCCTTTAGTTTGAGGTAAAATGTGTCTCTGAGTAAGTTAGCCATGGGAAATCCAGTTTAGAGGTCGTGGCACATTTTGCGTGGTCTTCTCAGTTCGCGTTTTTGAGTCGTATCTATCTTTCCCCTCCAATTCCATCGACCTCTTATATCAGTTGAGTAAATGGCCTGCATGTTGTGGAGAAGTTCTAATATCAGGTATTCTCTCATGTTGTCCTTGTAAACTGTAGAGTACTTTGGAATTGCCAAAGTCTTCTCCTCCAAACTACATCTCCAATATTCTTTTAAACCTTAAAGTGCAACAAAAATCCTGCCTCAATTTGTTGTTTGGAAAATACCTTAACCATGACTCCCCTTGCCACCAGTCAGAAAACTGTCTCTTTCCTCACTCCAGAGTCTCTGTGTCTTTCTGATTGGTCTCCCGAGCCCTTAGGTGCAACCCTAAATTAGTATGACACTTTTTCCAGCCTCTTTTTCACTATGCTTTATAGCTTCCTGGAGCTCTAGAATGACCATTTTCAAATTGAGGTGTTAAAGGACTTCCTTTTGTCATCCATGGCTGGCTGCTTATAAAATTAACTTATATCTCACAGTGTCTGTAGTTCTGTTCCTGAGTTGAATCCCTCATTTTTATCCCTATGGCATCTTTTCTAAAAAACACATCATTGCTTTCATTTATTTGAATGAGCCTTTCCCCCCTTAAACTAACACAATAGTATTAGCATGATAGTCTGAGGGATTTCTTTTTCACTCCTGAAAGTAATCAAACTGAAGAAGAGTAAGGAAAACCACATTTGAAAATTATTTTTCTTTATACGAAAAGTGGAGAAAAAAGTTTATCTTTTATGTAATAGTAGCTGTTAGCTGCAGACTAGCTCCCTTACTCTGAGGTGCGTGCACCCCTCAGTGTCTTCTGGAGCCTGACCCAAAGTGGTCCCCTGGCCGGGAGCATGGGCATAGCCTGGAAGCTGGATTGACCTGCAGAACCTCAGACACCACCCCAGACCAACTGAGCCAGAATCTGTAGTTTAATAAGGTCCCCAGGTGATTTATATGCCCATTAACGTGTGAGAAACATCGTTCTAGAACAGTGGTTCACATGCTTGGCTGTACATTAGGGAGAAAAAGCTGCCTGGCACCCATCTGAAAGTTCTGATTTAGTCTGGGTTAAGGGCCAGGTGTGGTGATGGTTAAAACTCCCCAAGTGATCCTGATGGGCAGCCAAGTTTGAGAACCACTGCCCCGGAGACTTCTGGAGCACGTTTTTCTTTCTTTGGTTATGTCGAACATATCCCAGAGGCCTTGCCTAGAGTTACAGCTATGGCCTGTGCTTTCAGGTATTCTCTCCGTGCTGGTTGCCTTGATGGCCGGAAAGGCAGAGGTTAAATATAATCCAGAAGTCATCCAGCCAGTCGAGATAGCTCAGCTCATCCAGGACTTGGGCTTTGAGGCAACAGTAATGGAGGACTACACAGGCTCAGATGGCGACCTTGAGCTGATTGTAAGTATGGTGACTGAGCTGGAGCTGGGGGCTTGAGGGATGCAGGCCTCTGACGACCTGCAGATGTGTTCTGACAGAAGCTACGGCTGTGATCAGTCATTTTCCCCCATCTTGCTGCTGTTTTTGCGTGTTTTGTTTTGTTTTTCATTGACGCCAACAAGGACCTGTTCATTTTGTGAAGGAATGTCAGTTATGTAAGAAAGTTACAGGAATGGATTCCACTGGGCACATTCAGGGTATTAGGAGGAGGACATAGTGGAGTGTTGGAGGAAGAGGAATTTAAGATGGTTGCTGTCTCGAGTTGGTGGTTTGAGGGAGTTGAATATGAACACACTTCATAAAGTCTAGATAAAGGGAAGCTAGAATGCTGGCCGTGTCTCAAGGCTAGATGAGGTGAGGCAGCGTGGTCGTCAGTGCCATCACAGGTGGAGGGGGCTTGTACGCAGGCACAGGGGTGTCTAGAAGGTAATCAGTGCCAAGATTGTCCCAAAGCACCCAGTCCGAGGTCAAAGCCAAAGGTGGTTGCTGTTCCCAGTGTGGTTGAGTGGCAGGGGTGGAGTGAGGGAGGTGGCGGTGTTTTCTTTCTCTGCACTGTTACCAATTGCGCATGTCAACAAGTCATTGAAAACAACAGGTATGTCTAGTATTTTAAATATGATATGTTTACTAGCCCTTATGTACAGAGCTAGCTTTATATAAATAAAGGGAGACTTAGAAGAAACCCACAAAGAATGAATAGATGGCAGTAATACTCTTTTACTGAGGTAAAAGAATCTTTTACTTCCTTAGTGTGTTTAGTCACTGCTATTAATGGTAAGTAAATGTTTGAAGAAGTACTGAGAACATGAGTGGCATTTTGAGTTCCTGATAAGTGGTGTTCTTTTTAGAGCAAAACTCTTTGCTCTGAACTGGCCTCCATATGAGTTGAGGGGCAAAAGGTAATATCAGTAGGATACAGCTCAAATCAGCCCTGCGATCAGAGCAGAGCGCCTGCTGCAGACCTCCAGGTCCAATGTGGACGTACGTCTCTGCCCGCTATGACTGCCACTGTGTGGAAAAATCTGAATCAAGAATATTGTTGGGAAAGGCAAAATCTTTTTTTGAACAATATTTTATTGTAGTTTTTTTTTTTTTTTTAAACTAAGCAGTACTAATAGTTATATCATCATCATAGGTTCAGACATTTTATATGGACATTTTATGTCTGTATTTAATTGTATTCTGGAAAATGCTGACCATCGATGCTTGAAGAGTGTCTGGTTTGCCTAATACATATTATAGGGATGGCACGTCTCACTCCTGTTTCTCATTTCAAGACACATGACATGGTGATAGTGTGGCAGAGTAGCACAGCTTTCACTGGGCTTGAATTCTGGTTCTGTTGCTGCAGGAGTGTTTTTCAACGTGGTCTGTGAAGACCACCTCACGATGCACAGTGCAGCAGATTGGAGCACTGACTCAGAGCCAGGCTCCAGCTCTGCCACTCCCTGGTGTGTGACTTTGGACAAGTTCCGAAACCTGTCCATGCTGGAACTTGATATGAGCAGGATGGTACCCAGGGCAGTGCCTGGCAAGTTACAGGTGTACGTTAAGAGTTACCTATTAATATTGTAAAAGTGAAAGGAGAGCTTAGAACCACCATTGAAATATTTGTGGACTTTGTAAAATTCTGTTTGCCACCTGCCAGCCGGTAAGCTCCACATCTGCATGATGGTCCCCTCTTTCCCACCTTTTTCTTGGATCCTGTGCCAAGGTGAATGCATTCTGATTACAAATGAGCTCACCTCTCTTTCCTAATTCCACGTGGGACTCTCTTGTCTCTTCTGATACTTGATTCTGGGATTACTGATGCACATTTCATTCAGTAATGTGCAGCTCCAGTGTCTTCATTCTGATGTTCATTACCCCTTCATGACTTCCTATCAAGTGGGAAACAACCCTTTTTAGATGAGTGCTCAAAAGTCTTCATGTGGACCCAGCCAACGAGGCAGGCTACCTCCTCTTCCTTTCCTTGCATGCCCTGTGCCGGCCAAGGCTGGCCGTTGATGGTTGCCTGAACACCCCATACTGTCCTGCTTTTTGTCTTTTCCCATACTTTTCCCTTTGTGATTACTCTGACTTTCGCCTAGATACACCCTGTCCATACTCTGGGACCAACTCAAATCCCATCGTCTTAGTCACTTCCTAAATTCCTTTTCTTCTGTCGGTAATGAGTTATTGGCATCATTACCCTTGGAGCCAGCAGGGCCCTGCAGTAGGGAGAGTTTTGGCAGCAGCTGCAGTCCAGATGCTAGCGACACTTGGGATTTTAGAGAGTGTTTCAGGAGCTCAAAGGATTTTGCAGAAGCAGAGAAAGTGCATGCATTGTTATCGCGGTGTACTGGTGAGATGGCTGAGACAGAGTGTGGATAGCCTATGAAAGCCCATTATTATCAGAGCCAAAAGTCGAGCCTCCATTGGTTGCCATCTGCTTAGTGGATTGGCTATGTCTCTTGTACCTGAATTGGAGAAGAACCACTGTTTATATCCTTGAAGCCCCTGGGGGAAGGTTTGGGGTAAAGATATTGCACATGGGGTTTGGAGGCGGGAGTCCAGAGTCTTGGGGAGGGTTCTGTGGAAGGACAAGAGGTTCAAAGGCTTTTGGCTACCTGTGTGCCTTTGACAGTATCTTCTTGAATCTAGCTCAGTGGGGTTTCTATCATCTTGTGCTGCAGATCACTGGGATGACCTGCGCTTCCTGCGTTCACAACATAGAGTCCAAACTTGTGAAGACGAGAGGTATCACCCATGCCTCCGTGGCCCTTGCAACCAGCAAAGCCCACGTGAAATTTGATTCTGAAATTATCGGTCCGCGTGATATTGTCAGAATTATTGAGGTAAGACATTCATTCATTAAGAAAAATTATACCCACCTTTAAAAAATGTAATTATTAACCATTGCAGAAAAATGAGAAAATATAAATAAACAAAAAAAGTCGCCAAAAATCCTTCAACTTTTCCCATGGAAATAAGGTGAGTCATTTTAAAGTAAACTGTGAAGTTAAGTGAGTATTAGATATTCTGGCAGGGGTTGGGGGTCAGGTGGTGGTGGAAATCAGTGATTGGAAAAGAAAAAGTTGGGGAGAAAAGACGTTATCATTGTTATAATTTCAGATAGTCCCTGTGAAACACAGTATTAGCAAGGTACTTGGTATATGGGGTTGAATTGCCTAAGTGTAATTTTTAGGTATAATTTATGTCTGTACCAAGTATGTATAGACCAAAGAAATGTTGATATTTGAAAGAGTTATACTACATTTTACTACTATGCTAGGCCTTCTTTGTAATGGGAGAGTTTGGTAATTTTCCTTTGGAAAATCAGAATAGTTTTCATACACTTCCTCCCTCTGTTCCTGCTCCGGTTGTCCACAGATATACCATTTCCTGTTTAAGGTCTGTATTACACCACACCATAAGAAGACGAGCATTAGAGGGAATCCGAAGGGGTTAAGACAGTCAAAACTTGTTAACAACTAATGGTTAAGAGTAAATGAAGTTTAGCAGAAACCACTACTTATGAAATTTCTTATGAAAAGAAACATCTTGCAGCAGGTATAATATCTTTAATTTTCTCCTCAGCGCATGCGTGTGTGTGTGTTTTAAGAGCGGTGTTGTCTGTGATGGCCTAGCAGAGCTGTTAGACAGGCAGTGATGCTGCAGCTGCTGCTCTGCTGCTGGGCCGTGCCTCATGCTCAGAGGCAGACAACACAGCTTCTTCATCAGATGAGGGAAGATCCCAGAGGGCTTAAGTACGTTGCTCACTGGTACCCAGCCAATGGTTGCAGAACCGACACCCAAACCCAGCTCTTACATTTCAGGCTTGGTGGCCTTTCTATTTCTACCACACCACAGGTCTTCCAGAACAGTAGTGATAAGGCATCGACGAGGTAAAAAGTCAAACTGATGCACTGAGCACTAGGGAGAGTTGAGATGGTACTTTGAACACGGCTCAGTTATATTCTTATTTATAAGGTCCTCGCTGACCTCCACCCACCCGCAGAGCTCGGCACAGCCCTTTCTTTACATTATTGGATGATTATGCCAATGTCTGGCCTCCATTCTTATGACTCTGGGGCATCTATTCCTAGTATAATAAGCCTGGTATTAGTTGTAAAAGGATTTGTCTTAAGACAGACTGTCTTACATGTTCTTTCTCCCACTATAACTTTAATTTTTGTGTAAAATCTCAACACCAGAGTTCTGGGGCCCCTCTTAGTATTGTGCTGGCTGACAGGACACTTCCTGACAGCTTTCTCGGTGTCTATTTGTGAAGGACATCAGAGACGTCAGTGATCAGATCGAATAAGGGGGAGAGGGCAAGGGGGAGCATCAGCAAAGGAAAGGCCGGAGTTAATCCCTAAAGACAGCACGAGATTGAGGCGCTGTCTCTGTGTGGCCTCAGTGGAGGCCATGGCTCACAGGTGTTGAAGTGGCCATGGTCGCTCAGTGGAAGAGGCCTGGCTGGGGGCTGCAGACCTGAGCACTGGACCTAGCTCTTCTGATTCCGCTGTGCCTTTGGGCCGGGTATTGAACCTCTCTGACCTTCAGTTTTCTCATGCAGAGAATGAAAGCAGCTGACCATTTGATATTTGGGATTCCTTAAAAGTTCTGAGTTTACAACTCAACGCTGTTCAGCTCTGGGACACTGACTTTATCTCCCAGAGCCTGCTGCATTTGTGGACAGAGGAACAGGAATCACTATCTGAAGCATCTCCTTGGAGATGACACAGCCATTAAGCGTAGATGGTGCTGAAGCTCTGACAGGATTTGAAGAGTGATTTGGGTAAAGAAGTTGTAGGAGAAAAAACCAGTACATTCCTCTGAGGCGATTTTAGATTAACTTTCTAATTTCAAAAGGTGTAAAATGCTTTCTACCAGTGCATGTTTTAACCAAGTGCCTTCCTCCTTGTTTCCTACCCCTCCCTCTCTTTTTAATGACAAGGAAATCGGCTTTCATGCTTCCCCGGCCCAGAGACACCCCATCGCTCATCACCTGGACCACAAGGTGGAGATAAAGCAGTAGGTAGAGCAGAATTGATAAACTGAAGCTCTTGTCTAAGTGCCTCCCTCTCCCCATGCCTGGTTCAGTGCTCCTCTGCTTCTCGGTGCCTCTGCTGCCCTGGCTTCCCACGGCACCTTCCGCTTGGATTGGCTGCCTTTCCCCCTGTGATGTTAGCCTTCTAATGCTGTGTAATAAACTTGCTGCGATGACAGAGTGTTCCATATCTGCACTGCCTGGTATGGTAGCCACTAGCTACTGAGTACTGAAGTGCAACTGATATGACTGAGGAACTGAACTGTTAATTGTATTTAATTTTAATTTAAATAGCTGCCTATGGCTGGTGGCTAACAGATGGGACAACAATTAAGTTGGAAGGAAGGGAACATGGAGTTTTTTCTTTTACAGTATTTTAAGACTTTATTTGAATGTGTTCTAAAACTAAGATCCAAGGACATAAATAACGGCCTGGGTTCATTCATTGTTTCAGATGTTTATTTATTCGTTCAACAAACATGAGGCTGCTGTTGTATGCAGGGCCCTGTGCCAGATGCAGGGGATGAATAGAATGCCGTCCCTACTTTTGAAGTGCCCATACTCTGGCTGGAAAGGAGTGGATGAGCGATGATTCTAGTTGGTTCTGGGAGGTCTGGGGAGCTGATAGACAGAGGGCACACTATCTGGTTGTCAAAGAATGAGGGGAAGTTTCCTGGGTTGAGGGACTGGAGGTGGGTGGGCATGGAAGTGGGGGTCTTCTAGGGTCCCAGAGGCAGGGGGCCTTCAGGGACTCTTGTGTGTTTGCCAATTTCCTTGTTGGCATGGCCGCAGCACAGGAGGGACTGGAAGGACAGGTGCATGGAAAGCTAGTGAGAGGCTAATTCTTGGGGCCTTGGGTGGCAGCCTTTAATCTTAAAGGCCAGTGGCTTTCAGACAGGAGTTAAGGTACAAAGGCGCATTAACATTTCCACCAACAGTTGGTGAGAATTTCGTGGATGCTGAAGCTAACATGAGACCACAGCTGTCACCGTGACACCGCCCCCCCCCACCGCCATTTCAGGCTTTCACTATTCATCAAGACAGCTTCACTGTTCTCACTGACTATTTTAAGTAATAGTTTAAAAAGTAAATATATTATAAGTAAGTTTATACTAATAAAATATTTCTTTTATCTGTTTTTTTGCGGGAGGACAGTATGAAATTGCATTCCAAAAAAGAGCTGTAAGCAGCCATAGGTAGAGATGGTAAACGTCTCTGGGGCTGAATTCTCAGCTTCTGGGCCTCAGCTGCCTCACCTGTAGGTTGGAGGGAACATGCCAGCTGCAGGCAGGCACGGGCTAGATCCAGATATCTCAGGAATATCCTTGCAGCAAAATTTAGGCCTTTAGATGCTCCCTCAAATGGCTGGTGTTGGGGAGAGAGCCTTCCTTTCATTTTAGCCCTTGGTGGTCTGACCCAGACATGTGACAGCGTCTTAAGCTTCGTCCTCAGGAGGGGCTAGCCCGTACTCCAAGTGGCACCTAATCTGTCTCTGTTGCTCGTTGCTTTCCAGGTGGAAGAAGTCTTTCCTGTGCAGCCTGGTGTTTGGCATCCCTGTTATGGGTTTAATGATCTATATGTTGATACTCAGCAACGAACCCCATGAGTCCATGGTCCTGGACCACAACATCATTCCAGGACTGTCTATTCTAAATCTCATCTTCTTTATCTTGTGTACCTTTGTCCAGGTAAGTATTAGGAAGAGGGGCAAACCTCTGCCCTCCATGCCTGTGTGTGGCTGGCACTTTATTGTAGCTTTTAGGACCCACCCCAGCCATTTGCTGCTTTTTAACGTCTGTGACCAGCAGTAGGGTATTCTCTAACACAGGGGACATGAAAGGACTTGGTTTCACTGTCAGTTTCACAGTTGATTGCAGGTGATCGAAATCTCTCGGGCATAGTAACCACCTTGTTACAAAGATTGGTGAATCAGTTTTCTCCAGTTAGCTTATTGTTTAGGTTAATGTACTTTTGTTTTTAGAAACAACAGCTAGATCACCCTGGAACTCGTGCTTCTTTTGAATGGCAGAAATTTGGTCCTGAGGAAATTATTTATTTATTCATTCATTCATTCATTCATTCATTCATTTTTATGTATTTTTTCTTATCTATCAGCAATTACTTTATTTTTTTTTAAGTTTATTGGGGTAACATTGGTTAATACAGTTATATAATTTTCAGGTATACATTATAATTTGACATATATATATTCTATTGTGTGTTTACCACCCAGAGTCCAGTTTCCTTCAGCTACCATATATTCAATCCCCTTTACCTACTTCACCATCCCCCTAAGCCCCTACATTTGACCCCCTTTACCTTGACTACCTCTTCTCTCCTCCCCTACCCCCTACCTCCTGGTATCCACTAGTCCATGGTCCATGTCCCTGAGTCTCTTTGTCCTGTTCATTTGTTGCTTTTAGGTTTATATCTCAGACTGAAAAAGGTGAAAATCATGTGATATCACTTATATGTGGAATATAAACCTAAAAGCAGCAAAGGAAATATTATTTAAAAGAGGCTTCATGGAACTTCTAGTCTGGTATTAAGGAACTAGCCGTGTTTCTAGTGGGAAGTGTGTGGCCTCCATATATTTTAGAATATAAAATAAAACTCCTGACTTAATATTAAAACGTTTAGTTTAGGACTATCTAGGGGCAAGTCTTTGTAGGCTGAATTTATTTTTTTTTCTGTATTTAAAAAAAATTCCAAATGTAATGTATATTTATTTTAAACAATTCAAGCCATATGGATGTATAAGAAGAAAGGAGGAACATATTCTTTAATTGTACCTTGCCTCCAGCCCAACGCCATTCTCCAGGGTCACCTTAGTATTATTACTAGTTGGGTGTGTATCTTCTATCTATATAGAGGAAATACACATTTACGTCTGTACGTATCTGTGTGTGCATGTTCACATAAGGCAGACACATCCTATTAGAGGTACTGATTTATAATTGGCTTTTTTACCTAATCATGTAATACTGACATTTTTCATTCCAATGGTTTATAGATCCAGCACTTTTCTCCTGAGGCAGCAGTCCCCAGCCTTTCTGGCACCAGGGACCGGTGCTCCTTTGAGAATCTAATGCCTGATGATCAGAGGTGGTGCTGAGGCAGTGATGCTAGCTCTGGGGAGCAGCTGCAAATACAGAGGAAGCTTCTCTCACTTGCCTGCCACTCACCTCCTGCTGTGTAACCCAGTTCCTAACAGGCCAAGGACTGGTACCAGTCCACAGCGGGGAAGTTGGGGACCCCTGTCCCAAGGGACTGCATAGCATTGGCCACAGTATAAATGAAGTGTGATTATTTCACCATTGTCACCATTCTCCTATTGATGGACATTTAGGTTGTGTACTCTGAATTTTAAAGGTCTCCCATGTCCTTGATCATCCATTCCTGTGGCCATTAGTCCTACGAATCAGGAAATACATTTCAAAAACATCAATTAGAAAGGAAAAAGTAATGTCAAAGTTGTGGGTGAGGCTAGAGTATTTGCCATCCCGAAGGGCCTGTGAGGCCTCCGTTTGCTCCTTGAACGCTATGCCCTGCTTGGCACAGCTGTCACTCTCCTTTATTTGTCTTTTAGTTCCTTGGCGGATGGTACTTCTACATTCAGGCCTACAAATCTCTGCGTCACAGGACAGCCAACATGGACGTGCTTATCGTGCTGGCCACTAGCATTGCCTATGTTTACTCTCTCATCATCCTGGTGGTGGCCATTGCCGAGAAGGCCGAGAGGAGCCCCGTGACATTCTTTGACACTCCCCCCATGCTCTTCGTGTTCATCGCCCTAGGGCGGTGGCTGGAACATGTGGCAAAGGTAACTTCAGCTTCAGGTTAAAAGAACTGTTCCTTCAGTAATACAGATCTTAATTCATCTGAATACCATGTTTAGAATTACTAATTATACACAGTTAGAAAAAGACTTAAAGAAATGTGAAACCTACATATAATTAGGTGTTTCTAACGCTAATCTCCAAATTGGTCACACTTCTGAAATCCCAGCTAATCTGGTTAATTATTAAAACCTTTGTTCAGGTGCAAAATGTAATGGAAAGAACTCTGGATTTCAGATCAGTCTGAAATATGTGATTCATTGAACTAAGGGGCATTGTGCATTCAGTGTGGCGATGACATGGCTGCGTGTCAATGGCCAGTGAATCACACCGTCCCAGGAGAGCCTTTTGGCTGCTGTGTGGCTGTATTAAGGGGGCAGCCTTTTCCTGCAGGGGTCACTTTACAATAGTTCTCATTTTACATTCTGATTATTTCTTAGAGCAAAACCTCAGAAGCTCTCGCCAAACTCATGTCTCTCCAAGCCACGGAAGCCACCGTTGTGACTCTCGGTGAAGACAACTTAATCATCAGGTAGGTTATCTTCATCCAAAGTCTCCAATAAATTTATGTCATTCTGCGTAATATGCATCAAACACCTACTGTGTATGTGACATTACCCTAGACCTCATGAGGGCCAGCACAGTAAGATTCCTTTTTTAATCCAGTTAAGTAAATCAGAAATCTTGTTAGTAAATCAGATAATCTTGCATATCAAAAGATAAGCAAGAGTTCACAGTGGCTTCTGTATGCCAAATGATAAAAGAGAGATATAGACGATTTGTATCCCTGGAATTTAGAAGAGGGAGGCTTATGGCCACGGAAAGCTTAACAGGGAACATGGAGTTCCCTTCCTTGCAAGATCTGGAGGATTCATATAGGCTGAGAGATAAGGGTTTAGACTTACCAAAGAATAAAAATGGAATTAGCATTTTTCTTCTTCATAAGGTTGACAGATATTAAAAATAATAATGATTATTTCCATTATTGCTGAAACTTATGTAGCATTTACTGCTTGCCAGACACTAACTTTTTTGTATTTAATCTAATAAAAAAATTGATGAAGCAGGTACTGTTAGTACCCTTATTTTGAAGAGGAGGAAACAAGTTCAGAGAGGGTAAGGAACTGGCCTAGGTCACACAGGTATTAAGGAGTGGAATTGGCATATAACCCAGGCCGTTGATTCCAGAGTCCATATTCTTTACCCTTCCATATACTGACTCTTAAAGCATATGTAATAATGTGGACATTTTTACAAATTAAGGCTTCCATATTTCCCTGGTCAGTCTCATTTTCATATTCAAGGCAGCAGTTATTTATAGGCCTTCTTCGCATTCCTGAAATCTCTCTCTGGCCCCTCCACTTTCTTTAACCTGTCATCTCACTTCTGACTACTGAAATCCGTCAGTTTCCTGCCACTCAGCCTACAAAGCTAGCCTTCCCCCATGGCATCCTCCCGCCCTCCCACCCCAGTGCAAGAGGCGTCTCTCTCCCTGGGCCTCTGTTCAGGAGCCTTCCTCTGTGGATTTCTCATTGATCTTCAGTGTCTCTATCTTTGTGGATTTTTACCATCCACTGTGACATATACTTCAAACTCTCCTATTTAAACCACCCTTTGTCCCTATCCCACTGTGTGCTTGCGCATTCATCATGCTGTTGCCAGTGCCAGTGCGCTAGCTGTATCCTCCCAGGGACCAACCTCTGAGGCTGATACAGTTCCCTTGCTTCCCAGTGGGGTGCTCGGTGAGCCTGTGCTGAGTATATGAATGAATGAGCGAGACTTGAATGAGTAAAAGTTAATGAGTCATAGGCTGACTGCAGCACTGGTTTTTGCCTGGATGCTGGCTTTTAAATAAAAATCAGAATTATGATGGTGTTCGCCAAGATTTTAAAACTTAGTTGTCTACCAGGTACCGCAACTCAGCACTTTGCATAAATTATCTGATTTAACGCTGATAGCTGCCCTGTGAGGCAGGTGTTCTCACGATTCCCATTTCATTAGTGAGGTGAAGTAACTTGCCCAAAGTCCATGGCAGGTGAGTGGCAGAGCTGAGACTGGAGCCCTGCAGACACAGACCCATTCCATCGGCCACCTGCTAAACTGTCTCCCAGACAGGACCCTGTGTGACAAAGCAGTTGTCTGCTTCTACATTAGTAATGCATTTTGGCTACTTCTTTTCTTATAAATTAATGACATGAGCGTTTTCTGAGAAGTAAAAACATTCAGATCGGGAATAAAACTGTGGGAATACATTTACTGTGTGTTTCATTTGGAAATGCGTGTGATACTGTGGACTGCAATTGCTTGGACTGCAGGTGTGTGGACTGCTTGCTCCATTGATTTGAATACAGGAGGTATCAGCTTTGCTAGAAGGCGAAAGCTAATTGAAATGTCGAAGGACTGTAGGGCTACACCTGTCATAGCTCAGTTCTTTCCTAAGATGGTGATTAATTTTTGGCGTGGACACACTGCAGGCCCGATGACTACCATCGTAATGTGGTGGTACCATTTTATTTTCCACCTACAGCACCTGGTCTTCCTAGGTGGTCTCCCATCCAAGTACTAACCAGGCCCGACCCTGCTTAGCTTCCAAGATCAGATAAGATCGGGCATGTTCAGTGGTAGTACCATTTTTTAAACTAGGGGTCCGAAGACCATTCTGGCTTTGCCTCAGATGGGCTGTGTGCTTGGAACACATTAGTTAATGCCTATTTGGTGCAGTTTCTGTCTGTCAAATGAGGTGGTGGTTCCTACCCCGCCTTCCTGACAGTACACTCCAGGCTGCTGGCAGGGGATGGGCCCAAGGTCACCCCTTGCTCTCCTAAGGCCAAGGCCACTCACTCTGTCCCTCCTGAGGAGCTGGACTCTCCGTAACGTGAGACATGCTGGTGCCAGGGCTCCTTGGTCAGCCTCGGTCTCCTGCAGGATCCTCCGGCATTGGGGCCTCTGTTGGCGTGGACAAGTGTGGGGAGCCTTCTGAAGACCACTGCTTCAGTTGGCTCCTTTCAGTGAGACTCGAGTCTCTTCCTCCCTCTGTCCCTCTGCCAGGGACACTTGTCCTTTTTCTCCATCCCAAGTCTTGGGTGATGGCAGCATCTACGTAGATGATCAATCTGGAACATAATTTCTTCCCTAACTGCCACTTGCTGTCTCCTTCGTGGCCTTCTTTCGCTTTCCTCATTCCTTAAATATTGATGATTCTTGGGGTTTCAGTGTTGGCTCTATTGTCTCTCGTCTTGGTGTCTTATAGACTGTCACTGGGACACCTCAGCTCCCCCATTTCTTCATTCTCACTTGAGTGTCATGAAGACTCAAAGTTAACCTGTCTGTATCTTTCCCATAATCTTCCCTCTGTGCTTTCCTCCCAGATTCCTCCTCTTCCCCTCGTGTCTGTCTGTCCCCAGGAATGGCACTGTTCCATGCCAGCTCCTGAGGCAGAGGCCTGGGCGTCCTCTGTGACCCCTTCCCCTCCCTCATCCACACATCCAGTCTTCGTCCTCTTCTAGCTGCACAGCTCCCAGTGGCCACACACAGCGTCCCCTCCCACTGCCACCAGGCTTGTTTAGGCCACTGCTGTCTTGTCTAAAGCACTGTGATGGTCTCCTCATTGCTCCCCTGCTTCCAGCCTAGTCTCCTTCCAACAAATCTGATTGTATTACTCTGTAGCTGAAACTCTCCCAGGGACTGGCTCTTGTCCTTACACATTTCCTAACACACATGTGAGACTTGGCATCTGCCGCATGTGCCTCTTGGGCTCAGCCTCCTGTCCTGTCATTCTTCTGGTCTCATTCCAGCCGCCCCCTCTGGCAGTTCCCACACAGAGGCTCTATCCTGCCTCCAGGCCCGTGCACACGTCATCCCCTCTTCTGTTCCCTTCACCTGGCTCCTTGTTATTCAGCTCTTGGTTTAGGTGTCACACCCTCCAGAAGCCTTTCCTGTCCTCCAGGTCTGGCTTGGTCACCTCTCAGTGCTCCTGGAGCACCGGTGCCTCCAGTCACCCTGGGCATACACTGGCAGGTCCTCAGATACTGTGTTGAATGAATGAAACGGCTGTCAAATGTTAAAGAAATAATATACACATGTGTGTGCTTGACCGCGTGACATTAAAAAGCCAGCATAGCCCTGTCTCTAATCTCCCACATTGACGTCTTTTGTTTCTTATAAATGGGAAAACAAAGTTACAGATTTTATCTAGGACAGGGCCATTCCATTATGAGTATTTTCTTTGTCTTTTTTTAACTTGTGTTAGATGAGGAAGGAGGCAGGTGAGGTAAAGAGACTGCTGGCAAAAAAAACAAACAAAAAACTTGTCTTTCAGTTAAGTGTATTCCTACAACTCAGGATTTTGGGAGCATTAGTTTCTAAAAAAGAAACACTATGAGAATTCACCAGAAAGAGCTACCTTGACCCTTGTAAAGGGCTGTTCACTTTAAATTAAGCTGTTTAGAGTTAGAAAGATTGGTTAATTTAGATCAGAGGAGAAGTTCAAGGTTAGATTAAGCAGAGATTAGCATTACTAATAGAAAGGCACCCAAGTGGCCATGTGCGCCAAGTACCCCCGTATAAGCGAGCAGTTTAAAGCTTAGTAGTTAGGTTGTGGGGGCAGAGAGATTGTGCCCGTTAGTCCCCACAGCCTTCTTTTCCGAAGTGAGCAGGGGCCCTTCTGACACAGGCTTCTCTTGCCAAGTGGAGCCCTCTAGGGTGATAAACTCCAGGCCCTGCTACAGGCCTCGGGCCTCAGAGGGGCGGTTTTGGGGCCTGGACTCTCTGTTGCTGGAAGACCCCTAAAAGAAGCAGAGAGTTTCTCGGGTTATGGAGATCCTCCCCTTCCTGTTTCCTGCCCGCCTGGCCACCGAGTTTACACATCTGTTTCCAGCACTCAAGACTTTATTCCGTTGCTTACTTTCCCTCGGAAGGTCCCTCCTTTTCTTTCAGTGCTCCTTTTATTTCATTATGGCCATTATTGAATTTGCATGTATGAGTCTGCTTTTAGCTTCTAGGCTGTAAACCTCATGAGAGGAAGGCTCTACTTTGTCATGTTTGTCACCTCAGCCTAGCACAGTGCCTGTTACACAGGCCGGGCAACAGTGAAAACATCCATTAGGTGACAATAAAAGCTGCAGCATTCACGGAGCACTTACTCTGTGTCAGGCATTGTGCTAAGCAGCTGGGATATGCGTCACCTCAGTTAATCCTGGGAAAAAAATTGTCATCATGGAAAGGTGGATATTGTGTCTTTGAACTAGGATTTGACCCACATCGCACTGCTGCCCCGTGACGGGGACTCTGAGCTCCCGAGGTCAGAGCCATGCCTGCCTTGCTCACCACTGTGTCCCTGGCGCCTGGTGCGCACAGTGGCGCACATGCACTTAGTCTCAGGGTCGGCTTCATCTGCTCGGCAGCCTGAACTCGGCCCCACGAAGCAGCGCACCCTCACACCCCTGCAGGGAGGGCGGCGTGGCACGTGGGGCTGGACCCCCAGCTCCCGACAGTCCATCGTGTCCTCACTATGCAGACGATGTTCCTAACCTTTCTTAAAAAAAACAATTTTATTTTATTTAAAATTTTTTTTTTATTATTAAAGTTTTTAAAAAGAAGATATTGTTGTAAATATATGTAACATCTGTCTGCGCAAGCTGGTTCCTAAGTTTTGTACATTCATCCACAGTGACATTTAAAGAAATGGGCGTTGTATGTTCAATTTTGTGCCTTTCTAAGACATCTTCAGATTTTTGCCCAAATGGGTGAATATCATTTACCTCATATGTTTTTGGGAAGATACAATGAGATAAGACATGTAAAAATCTAACGCAGTACCTGCACTCAGTAAATGTCTATTTTTCTTTCTCACATAAATAAGGTGGCTTTTTGTACGTTCCTCTGTGGTACTTTAAATGTGGTCTTTGTAGGATAAAAGGGAAATATAAAATAACCTCCGAGTCCTGCTTGTTGTCCATGCCTGCTTTTTTGACTGTTTCACCATTTGTTCATGAGCCCGTGTTATCTGCATGAGTAAAAGGGAAATATAAAATAACCTCAGAGTCCTGCTTGTTGTCCATGCCTGCTTTTTTGACTGTTTCACCATTTGTTCATGAGCCCGTGTTATCTGCATGAGTAAGTGTGTTTGGCCCACGTGATGATTAGGGAGGTGCTGCCAGGGCCGGAGGGTTCCCTGGGTGGCCTCCCTCTCGTACTCTATCCCTTCCAGTCCTGCCCTTCTTCCTCCCTCCCTGCCATCTCTCCCCCTCTCTCCCCGTCTCCCTCCCTCCCTGCCATCTCTCCCCCTCTCTCCCCCTCTCCCCTTCTCCCTCCATCTCTGGGACCATCCCCACCAGCATACAGTTCACGCATGTAAACAATTCAGTTTCCTGTCTTACTGCACTCCCTCTCCTATTGCTGTTTCCTCTTTCCTTTAACAGCAAAACTTCTCTTGAAAGTCGTCTTTAGCTGCTGTCTTTGTTTCCCTACTTCACATTCTCTTCAGCCCGTTCCAGTTGAGTTTCTACCTCTACCAGTTTCTGCCATTGCTTTTGTCAAGGATATCAAGTAATTTCCACGTACCCCAGTCCAACCATGGCATCTTTTTAATCCGCATTTCATCCTCTCGCCAGCATTTTTACCTTTAATGTCCCTTTAAAATTTTTTCTCTTTTTCTTTTTAATTAAGGTATAACTTCCATTCTGTGAAGTACACAAATTAATTCTAAGTGTAGAGCATGGTGAACCACACATAGGTTTGCATCTGTGTCTGCAGTTTCCGATAGGATGGGCTGGGTGCTCGTTCCTTTGATTGTCTGTCTCTCCTTTGGCCCTTTGCATCTCCCTGGCTGCCCCTCTGCTCCTGCTCAACCTCCAAATATTTGCACATCCCAGGGTTTAGTTCTAGGACACCTCTTTTGCACTTACTCTTCTAGGCAACCATTTCATGGGTTTGAATGCATCGCTATTTTGTGTGTTTCCAGATTTGTACCTCAAGCTCTGACCTCTTCTTCCAGCTCTAATCATATTTTCAACTTTCTACTTAACATTTCTACATGGAAGTCAAATAGGCATCTCAGACCCAACAGGTTAAAATGAAGATCTTCATCTCCTCTTCCCTCTTCCTCCCTCAGTGCTTCTCCATAGTTGTCTCCATCTCATTAAATAATTTCTCATCCACCCAATGGCTCATATGGAAAGTTTAGAGCTCATCTGTGATTCTTTCCTTACGCATTCAGTACATCTCCCTCTCTAGCCCACATCATGGATGTCTTTTGTTTGGGAGGCTGCAACGGCCTAACTCGTCTCTCACCTTCTGTTATTACCCCTGCAGCCCATTCTCGTACAGCAGCCAGAGACTTGAAAATGTGAATCAGATTATGTCATTTTCCCACTGAAAACCTTACATTCAAAGCACACGTTCCTCTCTGCAAGACCAGAGGTGATCCGGATTGTGCCTGCCTCCCTCACTTCCCTCTAGCCATGTTGGCCATGTTCCTGTTTCTCAGAGGCACCCCTCCTGCCTGCCTTGGAGCCTTTGCATTAGCTCTTTTTAAACCCTCGAATGTTATTTCTCCGTATTTTGGCCCTTCTTGTCATCTGGGTCTCAGCTCAAATATCATCGTCCAAGTGAGGGCTTCTCATTCCACCGCCTAAGGAAGCGCCCCACCCCCAGTCACATTATTTTCACCAGAGCACTTATTTAATAACCAGAACTACCTCGTTTGTTGTCTGTTTCCTCCACAGAATTTGTCTTCATGAGGGTAAAGACTTTGCAGTCCTGATCATGGTACATTCCCAATGCTTAATACCATGCCTGGCACTTAGTAGCTGCATAATAAATATTGGCTCAATCTGTAAATGACAGATAAAATGAATACTGCTGCTCGGTGTAAAGCAAGTATAATGTAACTAGTCCAACAATTGGTCTAGAACCCAGCCTTGGTGACGGACCAAGAGGGTGAGCTCCAGTGAGTGTGTAACCTCAGTGACATTTGTTGCAGAGAGGAGCAAGTACCCATGGAGCTGGTGCAGCGGGGTGATGTCATCAAGGTTGTTCCTGGGGGAAAGTTCCCAGTGGATGGGAAAGTCCTGGAGGGCAGTACCATGGCCGATGAGTCCCTCATCACAGGTTAGGTGACTTGATTCCCGTTCCCTTCGGGTGGGTATCAGCATAGTTGCCAGGCCTCGTGAATGCTGAATGAGGCTTAGTGCATGACAGCTGGTCTCCCTTCTCCACCTCTAGGAGAAGCCATGCCAGTCACTAAGAAACCTGGAAGCACAGTGATTGCCGGGTCTATAAATGCACACGGCTCTGTGCTCATCACTGCCACCCATGTGGGCAATGATACCACTTTGGCTCAGATTGTGAAATTGGTGGAAGAGGCTCAGATGTCAAAGGTAATGAAATTTAAAAAACGATATCATCTCAGCTTCCTCATTTTGGAAATCATTCCAAGAGTTCCACAGACTCAGCAGGTTTTATTGAGCTGAGAGTTAATGAGGGAGCTAAGAATCCCAGTTCTTTTCTATGCTTGTGGTTGATTTCTTTGTAGATTGTAATGTCCCATGGTCTCGGTGTTTTATTTTTATAGGCACCCATTCAACAACTGGCTGACCGGTTTAGTGGATATTTTGTCCCATTTATCATCATCATTTCAACTTTGACGTTGGTGGTATGGATTATAATCGGTTTTATCGATTTTGGTGTTGTTCAGACATACTTTCCTGTAAGTTGAATGCTGCGGGCTGCATGGTTGTTGTGTTTTAAATAATCTATTGCCGTTACTCCTATTCTTTCATGTCTTAGATTCATTGGGCTTTAGTTACTCATTACATTTTATTTGATTGCTTCACTTATTGGCAACAAGATCTTAGCTGGGGTAGGACAATCAGTCACTCTCCTTCTGCAGGTTTTTCTTAAAGATGGCCTTCACTTTCTAGTTAGATAATTTCACAAACACCAGTTGGCTCTCAGTTGTAATGCTTAAAGCATTTACATTATGCAATATTGTTCATTTTGGGAGTTGTGAGGTACACACCGTGGAAGATAGGTCACTTTAGATTTCAATGGCATGATAATATTATTTAACAAATTTTAAGAAAAATATATTTTTGGTAGTCTATGTCCATAAATATCATCTTTAACCTTGCAGCTTCCCAAGCAAAGCTTTTTAGTAAATACTTATTAAATATTATATATGAAGCAATGGAATATACATTGTTGAGTTAAAAAAGTAGACGAAGAATACTATCTTAAGAAATATGTTTATCAAACTTTTAAAAAGGCGGAAAATACCCAAAAAAAATCCCCCAGAAAACAAACAAAAAAAAGTGTGCTTCAGAGATGAGAGCTGTACACATCAGTGATTTGCAATTGGGAGTGATTTTGTTGCCCCAGGGACGTTTGGCCATGTCTGGAGATAGTTTCGGTTGTCATGACTAAGGGGGCACGCTACTGGCATCCAGTGGGTAGAGACCAGGGATGCTGCTAAACATCAACAATGCACAGGACGGACCCCACAGCCAAGAATTATCTGGCCCCAAATGTTAATAGTGCTGAGATTGAGAAACCTTGATATATACATAAAAAGCTAATGGTCCACTTAGAGTAGTAACTAATAACTGCCCAGTGAGTAGAAAAATATTTTACCTTATTTTTAAAAATATCCCATACCTAGCCCAGTGTAATGTATATTTTACCTTAGAGCCATAGAATAAGAAACTGCGTACATGAAATGAATACTTTTTTCTTTAAAAAAAAAAATGTCTACCCATAATTAAAGGTATATCATATATTCTTGGAGTACATGTCATCCACTAAGATGTCATTTGCTCTCTCCAGTTTCCTATCTTAAAATGAAAACTGTCCAAATTATATACTGTCCGACATCTAAGGAGACCTTAGTGCTTTTAAGAATAACCTATGACTGTATTCCTAGAATTTGCCAGTGGCTATTATGGCACCTGACTGCCTAAAATTTCTGCTTTTGCTGGAGAGCAGCTCATTGGCTTGTGGCTGTGGGAACACTCAGTCCTAATCAAGTTGGAATATGTGCCTTTCTGCTATTCCCTGCCTTTCCATCTTACTTTGGCTTCTTCTGTTTTTATCTGCAATATCAGAGAAGCTGCTGGCAAATGAGGTCCTGCATGTTCCTTTAAGATATTGTTATCGCCGTGCTACATAAAAGTCTTTGTAGGGACAGGGTTTATGTTAACTTCTTGAAGTCCACCCAGTCCCATCAGAATACCAGATATTATTTTCATAAGAATTACTGGGTTTAAAAAAAAAAAAATCATCTTTACCTCTAAGAATTGCATTATGCCTTAAACAACATGTCTCTCTACCTAAATCTAACTCTTTCTATGAAAATTAAATAACCTTTTAATAATATATCTTATTTTAGAATCCTGCCTTTCAAAATCAAAGAATAAACTATAAATGGAAGCTCATGAGATTATGGTCTCTATCCTTGATTTAGAAAACATGCTTTTTTATTGTAATTAAGTGAATATAGTATCTCCTGATTATACTCCAGAGACACCAGCCATTTTGAAAAACAAATCAAGATAACTCAAGTCGTCAGAATGCAAATAATAATATCAATATGTGCCACCAGGTAGCCGGAAAGGAAACTCATATTTTGTTTGTTTTGGATTTACAAAGATAATGATAGTGAAGAATAGAAGAAAATAAAGATGGCTCCAAATCCCATTCCTAGTAGTAACCGTTTTTCACACTTTGGTAAACATCTTTCCAGTGTTGTTGAAAGGCTGTGTATAGATCTAGGCTGATAATTCTGCACTAATTAAATCACGACGCATGCCATCTTGCACTTTTGTTTGTTTGTTTGTTCAGCAATGCTACTGATATGTTTCCATGTCAATAAGTATAGATAATACATTATCACTTCAACAATTGCAAATTATTCCATTGTATACACCATATTCACAATTTAATTAACCAATCCCCTATTGGTTTTTTCTAGTTTTTTGCCATTACAATAATGCACTGTGATAAATATCCTATGCTTGGCCCTGGTCATCTTTTCCCACTTTATGACTATCACCTTAGGATAGATTCCTTGGAAATCTATAATTTTTTAAAGCTTCCATAATAACAAAAATGTAATAATTACAATTTCTTAGACGCCTCTCCTATGCCAGGTGTTTTATAATATATATGTACATGTTTATATGTGTTTATATATATATTATCTTACTTAATTCTTACAGCAACCTGTGAGATGGGTATTATTATTTCCACTTAGCATGTGAGGAAGCTGAGACACAGAGGTTAAGTTAGTGTCAGAGCCAGGATGTGAACTTCCATGGTCTATGTTCTGTTCCCCATCAGGGATTTTGATAGGATTCTTGGATCAAGTTGGAACACTGGGACACAGAGCAGTAGAGTGAGCCATGTGATATCACCAAAGCAGAGCGCAACTCAGTGTGTTTCCTAAACCCAGCTCTTCATGCTCTCTCAGGTCCCACTGCCTACACCGAAATGTCTTATGTGATTAGGATTCTGTGTGATTCCTCATTTCACTTTCCACCCCCCCCACTTCCTCTTTTCAGACCCCCAGCAAGCACCTCTCCCAGGCAGAGGTGATCATCCGGTTCGCGTTCCAGACGTCCATCACAGTGCTGTGCATCGCCTGCCCCTGCTCTCTGGGCCTGGCCACACCCACAGCAGTCATGGTGGGCACGGGTGTGGCCGCCCAGAACGGCATCCTCATCAAGGGAGGCAAGCCCCTGGAGATGGCCCACAAGGTTGGCCCTGTGCTGCGGTGCTCCCAGTCCTTTGGGGTCTTGGCTGGGATGATTTTGTAGCTGTTTACTACATGATTTTTTTTTAACTTAGGTCAAGTGAAAATAGTACCTGTTTAAATTTCATATTAAGAGAAAAACCCGAAGGAAGCCTCAGGTAGCAGTGTTAAGTAAAACAGGAAGCCAGGACTAACAGAATGACTAAAAGTAGCAGCTAACAGTTATAGAATTAAAAGCTTTATAAATATTAGTTGATTTAATCTCATCAACAACTCTGAGCACCATTTTCCAGATGAGGGAACTGCCGCAGGACAAGGCGAGGTAACTTGTCCAAAGGCCTGCAGCTAATAAATGGCAGAGCCAGGGTTCCCACCCAGAGAAAAGTACCAGCTCTGCTTCCATATGATGAGCAGAGGGTCCTGTGACCTTGGGGAGTGGAGCAGTGGGCAACAGTGTTTGTGAAGAGTCTTCCTTTGGCCCAGCATACCAGTCTCTAACCTTCCATCCTTCCACTGGTTTATTCAGTATTGGTTGAGCATTTACTGTGTGGGTCCTGTGCCTACCTTGGATTTGTGTGTGTCAGACGGGGGGTGAGGGGTGGTGCATGTGGTCAGGGAAGGAAACACAAAGGTCAGTCTGAGACCTAGCAGTTGAATGACAACAGAGGTTGAGAAGGATGTTCCGGCAGTGGGAACAGCACGTGGAAAGGACGAGGGGTGCTGTACTGCCATAACATAAGACTCATAAGATTGGAGACTGTGAGCTTTTCCCACCATTGTATCCTCAGCCACTCGCTCAGTGCCTGGCACATTGAAAACACTCAACAGTTATTTGCTAAATAAATAAATAAATAAATAAATAAATAGGTTCCGGCAGGGAACAGCACGTGGAAAGGACGAGGGGTGCTGTACTGCCATAACATAAGACTCATAAGATTGGAGACTGTGAGCTTTTCCCACCATTGTATCCTCAGCCACTCGCTCAGTGCCTGGCACATTGAAAACACACACA